ATGGATTCATCCTTAGTATATACAGTGTGTTTTATACACACATGCTGTACCTAAATACATTTTCTTTCATTCATAGGGTCTAAAGGGTCTCTGAGCAGCGGTGACTCTGGTGTTGTTGGTAAGTGTCTTTGATCATTTGAAAGACGTACTTGTCAGGTTTAGTCTTAAAACCTAGAAACATTTAACAGAAATCTACATCGATAACATTTCCTATGTTTGTTTTTTTTTCCATTCACAATTTCTGTGAACCAGCCAGAGTTTTAAGGAAAATATAAATGGATGTTTACTTCAGATGACATGAAATAGCCAGAGCAGATAGGCCTTTGTATTTTTATTCATATTCATTTAGATAAAAACATAATCCTGCTATTTATCCTTGCAGCCAATGGCAAGGACAGCCCAGACCTTGAAGAAACGGTTCCACTAAACCAGCCCTGAAGTTTCTCCAAGTACCACCATGTCCATCAGAGGAACATAAAGACTCACAGGAACCAGATTTACCAATTCAACAAATACATTGATCACTGGGTGGAGGAGAGGAGAATTTAAAAAGTCCCAACAGCTTGCAAAACTGATCGAGCAGCTATAAAATGTGCTACAATGGGTTAAAAAATAAATAAAAATCCCGTTTCCATGCCTGTTTAAGCCGAACCTCAAAGTTATAGTGACATTTCTATTATTCAGGTCATAGGTCAGGTGGGCTTCTTCCACAGGGAAGAAGTTAAATGTGAATTCAAATCTGAACATGCGTCGTAACTGCGGGGATCTTTAATGGTGGTTTGACTTGAAATCACTTATAACCAGGCCTGTGCATGAGAAGAGGAGAAATAAGGAAGCCAACTTTTGGAAAAGTGTTTCTACCTAATTTTATACCAAATTAGACTAATTACCATCAGGCCGATTCATATGTTCCTGATGAGCAAATCATGATTTTTGAATGTTTGAAAGAACAAGACAATCTTAAAATGAACTAAATAAAAATGCACAAAAGAGCAAAAAAAATGTGCACAAAAAAGGAGAAATAGCAACAAAGAAACAGAGATTTAAGTGCAGTTTCACTTAGTCAATTTACTACAAACTATGGATCAGTGGAACAGTTGGACAGAAGTCTGCAACCATTTTGAATACACTGGTATAATTGTAATACGCTGAAAGTGATAAAAATCAGCAGGTAATAAAGTTTAAAGCAAGAAGAAGTAATAAAAAAATATTTTTTTGTGCATTTCCTACTCTCCTGTCAACAGTTTTCATTTTAATGAGCTTTTTAAACAAAGTAGCTACAATGGAATGCTATAATATCTACATGTTTTATGGTAAATGTGTGGAACCTTCAGGCCTTATACTTTTTAAAGATATTATTCATTATGAAAAACATGATTATCTCGTGCAAATTTAATATTTTCCATTTTTGCTTGTGTGTTTTTGAATTTTTCTCCAGCTGTTGATTAATTAATACAGTCGTCCTCAAATGTATTCATACCCTCCCATTAAAGAAGGAGATAAACAGCTGTCACTGAAATAAGTTGAAACTGACAAAAGTAANCCACAGTGGACCCATCTTCTGATGGCTACTTCCAGCAGGATAACGCGCCACGTCATAAAGCCTGAATCATCTCAGACTGGTTTCTTGAACATGACAATGAGTTCACTGTACTCCAATGGCCTCCACAGTCACCAGATCTCAATCCAATGGAGCATCTTTGGGATGTGGCGGAACGGGACATTGGCATCATGGATGTGCAGCCGACAAATCTGCAGCAACTGCGTGTTGCTATCATGTCAATATGGAGCAAAATCTCTGAGGAATGTTTCCAGTAACTTATTGAATCTATGCCACGAAGGATTAAGGCAATTCTGAAGGCAAAAGGGGGTCCAACCCGGTACGAGCAAGGTGTACCGAATAAAGTGGCTGGTGAGTGTATGAAATAAAAAGCCGATCTTAAATTATTCACCTGCAGCAAACTAAAAATGCTGTCTGGTTGTCCTGCTGACTGCAACTAGGACTGCTGACCTCCTGTGAGCGCTTTGGGACGGGAGGAGCTCACAGTAGCGCCACTGCTTGCTGAGGACAGGAACGGCAGAACGATACGTGTCTTCACGTCAGTCTCCAAAACACCAGAAAAGTCTCCAGTAACACCAGAAAGAGTGGCTAGATTTGTCGCTAGTCGCTTTTGACAAAAAGAAGTTGCCAGGAGGATTTGGAAAGTTGCAAGATTTAGCAAGAAAGTCATCAAGTTGGCAACACTGCACGTGCAGACGCATATCGGTGGTTGTGACGCATATTTTAAGGGACAAAAAAATTAAATATATTTTTGTTTAATGTTACAAGTTCACAAAAATCTTCAAATTTAGAATTACATTTTAAAAGCTAGTGAGCATACATTTTAAAAACTAATGAATGCGACTCCGGAGCTGCGGGTTGCCAACCCCTGGGCTATGCTGACAGCTAGTGACTAGTTTAGGAGGCACCCACAAATTATCAGCGTCTGGGAAAGTAATAATCATTAATGCTTTAAGATGTGGGCCTTAGTGAGGAATAAAAGTGACAGAACATTAAAAGAGACAAAACCAAGAACGAACAGGACTGCAGGAGTCAAACTGGTCAGCTTCTGTCAGTCAATCTCTCAGTGAACAAAAGAGAGCGTACTAGCATCCTGTGATGCATCACTCTTAATGCAAACATACATAATAGTAATCCCTATTAATGTCAAAGCTTAGTTATAAATGACAGGTTCCCTACTATTACATGCCTTGTAAAATTTTGTGTTTAATCTATATCAGTTG